CCCCCACCCCAGTGTAAGATTCTCCGATTAGTCACATTCTCATCAAGTTTGAGTTTGAGCAGCATTGGTCGAGGGAAGTACCTGGACCTTAGAGAAGTGCAAAAATTGTGCCTGCATCCAGAAGTCACTACAGAAACAAAAGCCACTTTTCCCTTTGAGTTTTCTGAGCTGAAGAATCGTCTTTCCCCACCTTGAGAGCACAAACTGCCCCTGCATCCACAGGCTGCCAGCCAGCCTTGTCATCCCGAGAGGCTTCACGTCTCTGCTCTGAGCCAAGGCACCAGCTCAGTCTCACATTCTATTCTGCTCTGTTCCACTCCTGCCTGGAAATCCAGACCATGTTCTTAAGCCATTCAAGTTCTTATTGGCATTTCTGTTCACTAAACCAAGGTCTTACACTAAACAGAAGGCCACCCAGCTCAATCTGAGGATTAGTTGTGTTCACGCAGGGACAGGTGTGTGAAGGTCAGAAGTCCAGCTGCCAGCACCCGCCTCCGCCCCCCATACCTCACTGCAGGAAAGGGCTTGGAGGAGAACACTGGTCCTACTCCCACCTCCTACCCCTTTACCTCTAGTGAACTGAGCCAAACCCTCCACTTGCTTCTCCTGAGGTTTCTAGGGTGAAGGCCATTGTCTACCATCCTGTCCTGCTGCTTAAGCCAGTGCTCGGCACACTGGGTGTCCCTGAATGAATAAATGTAGCATTGCTTTCTCTCATGGAACTCTGGGAACTAACAGGGTACCTCAGGCAAGACAGTCAAGTCCTTGTATTGGAGGATCCTCAAACATAGTGAAATTAGCCAACTGTCACCTAAATCCTGCAAGGTCTATGGGGAGAAATGGTAATCAAAGGTTTCAAGTATAAGGACTTCTTTTTTACGTCAACATTCTGTTGATTCTCACAAGATAGCAGTTTCAACAGCAACTGAACAGGCAAAGGAATCCAGCAGCTAATATAAATTCTTTCAAGCTGTTACCCAAGTTGTTTTTTATTAATCATAATATTTCACAGACATGAGAAACAATAGGACATAAATATGTGAGCAGAGCCTCAGAAGGATGTTATGAGCCATGCCTCAGGAAAGTGCCTCAGGCATAGACTTTTGATGCTATCTCTAAATGAAGCTATCTGGTCTCAGAAAAGTACTGACATGGTTGATAAAAACAGTGTGTGCATCACACACACTTAAACATGTGTCCCCATACTGGTCCCCCACCACTTGTAGTGCACTATGACCGTAAAGTCTGAGGGGGCTCAGTCCCAGCTACCTGCCCCCTGGAGTGTGAACCCCCCCTGCCCAGCACACTCCCACCTACCATCTTCCACATCTTCCATGTCCCACTTCTCCCTAATCCCGGGAGGAATCTGAGTTTTCGACCTTGAGCTGAGGTACGCTAGTGGCTTTTGAAATGGTTCTTTGAAAGAATTTTCCTTTGAAGTGCTCGGGAGCATCCTCAAAGCCAGGAGACACCTCGGTAGACACAGCTTTGAGTTGCTCTGTAAGAGTCCTATGACCTGTGGGGATGCAGAAGAACCTGACACAGACCAGAGTTTAGGATCACTCGGATGAGGGGAACAGGCAATAGTCAGAAATCAGGAGCACAGATGCTGGACACTGGGAACAGCTCATCCTGGGGTTGGTACTATGCCCCTAAAAGCCCCCTCAATAAGCAGAAGAGGGACTGCCAGGCCTCTTTCTGATAATAAATATTCCTGCTCAAAAGGCCCCATTGCCCAGCACCTATGCTCACAGGAGTTCTCTTGAGAAACAGCAGCCACCATGGAGGCACATGTAATTCATACATTTCTTGTATGAGTTAAGGGACTCAATCCATTGACCTTCATTAGGCAGAAGAACAAGAAATAGTAATGAGAAACTGGTGAACAAAATATTCTGCTTCTATTGTGAAGGACAATATTTGTTAATTTAAGCAAGATTGTGTCTTGGTTGAACAGCATAAAAATGCTCTGTTTAATCTCTGCTAAAAAAAAATTCAAACGTATGTGTTAATTCATACATTTTGTTACGGTAGGCACCATAGTCTAAACCAAAACAAAACATCTCTTGAAAAAAAAATTAGCTTTTATAATTGGATTTTAAATAGCACATGATATCCTGCTTTGTTAATTGTTCCTTCCCACTACAGACACTAACTGGTATTTGAGTTTGGCTGTGACATAAATTCAGAAAGTTGCATCCTTATAAAATAGTGAAGAAATAAATACTAACGCTGTTTAAGTGTGGAAAAATGGAAAGAAAACAAGAATACAGGAATCCCTTGTGGTTGAGTCTACAGTGGAATCACACAGAAATTAAATGTTCCTTTGATTTGTTTCCTTCAAATATTTTCAGACATGAAAGATAAAACCAAGACTTGGAGAAGCTAATTCTGAATACACATCTGTTATGTAGCAATAATCAGCAAAGTGTGGCTAAGATAATTGAAAATATAGGCTAGACTGATTAAAGGCATTTTTGTGCACAATAAATATTAATAA